TAAATGAGAATTTGACTTTTAATAGGACACAATGGAGGAAAAGGATTCTTGTAGCCGACCCCACGTAGTGGGATAAAGGCTTGATGTTGTTGTTGTTGTTGTACTCATATCTGATTTTAGTTTTTCTTCTATTTTCTTGCTTATTTCAGATTTCAGCTAATAATAGCTGACTGCAGTGACTATAGTTTGTAGCAGTCTCACCTAATTTAAGCAACAACCACCTCACTTCACCACTTCAACCCTTGTTTTTTGTTAACACTGTAGAATTTCAGATTTCAGTAACCATTCTTTTTTATTTCCACCATTACAAATCTCTCCACACATTAATTTCAGCAACTATTAAATTCAATAACTATTAATTCTACCAATTCTACAGTCCCTACAAATTTCTTCCTATTCTTCCTTATCTACAGATTCATTACAGCACGCGGCAAAGTTGCCTTCTCCAGCTCTCCGCTTTTCTTCTGCCTGCTTCTCTCGTAAACAGCGGCTGCTTCGGCTTCGGTAAATGTCATGAAATTATCGTGGATGGAATGAATGGAACGAATGAAATAAAATGCCTTAGTTATATTAGCATGAAATTCCACTAAGCTTATAACTGAAATTCCACTAAGCATTAAAATATTCACTACTAATTCCACTAATTTACTCTCAAAATCCACCCAACCATTGATTTCCTGTTGATTTCCTGTTGATTTCCTGCATCTTGAAATCAGCCCATTGCATGCATGGCTAAGTGCTATGCATGGGCGGATCCCCATAGAGCCCAGGGTGGGCAAATGCCCACCCTAAAAAATATAAAGGATAAATTTGGAATTTGACCCCTCTAAAAAAATATTTTGCCCAAATGGTTAAAGATTTTGCCTAAATGGTTAAAGATACTTATATATTTCTCTTACAAAAAATAAAGGTGCTTATTTTCTAGTTCCTATACAAAAAATAAAGGTGCTTATTTTCTAGTTCCTATAAAGTAGGAGGTAAGCTTTATTCAATGGAGAAAGTAGGGCTGCAAGCGAACCAAACGTTACTTCGACGAGCTACTCGTTGTTCGGTTCGATTAAGCTCGTTTGTGATCGTTTAACTAGCAAACAAACAAACTTGAAACATATTTTAAATACTCGATTAATAAACCAAAATTAAACACTAATCGTTCGCTCATTTATTCGCCGAAACATCATTTGAACAGTTCGTGAACAAGCTCGATAAAGAAGCTCGATAAAACCGATTCGTGTTCGATTTTGAACTCAGTAATAAGACTAGATAAAAATAATTAATATTTGATTTAAAAATTAAAATAATATAAATATCATTGTCCTTTTTACATATACAATGCTTTAATTATAAAGTTGTTTTTTTCATAGATATGGTATAGACCGTCCACCTGGACCGGTCTAGCCGCCCAGGCGGGACCGGTTCACGCGTAAATCTCAAAAAGCGACCGGGCGAACCGCGCGAGACCGCGCGCCGTTGCGGACGTTTCCGGAAGAAATGAGGAGTTTTAGGAGAAATTGATTGTAGGACTGTTAGGGAATTCCTTTGAATTGTAGCATTAAACTAGTAAGATTTTCCCCTTATTTAATCCATCTTGAATTTGGCTGAATATTGAATCTCTAGATTTAGGTTTCTGGGTCTAGCGCGTTAAATTTGGAAGATCAGATCCTTACCTCTCGAATTGAGGATCAATTGTATCTTGCTATTTTATCATTACTAGTGGAATCAACTTTTCTTGAGTTTCTCTCAGTTTCTCGCAATTTTCTCGCTGTTTTCTCGTGTTTGGCTTGTCCTCTTGCTGAAAACAGCAGTTTCCCTTCTCGTTCTATCTTCAGATTGCTTAGAGATTACTGAAATCACAAGTATTTCCTATCAATATGTTCATTGAACTATTTGTTTGATAGTTAAAAAAAAATTCGTTAAATATGTTTCGCGGAACAAGGCTCGATAAGTTACTAATCACGATACGAACATGAAACCGAACATGAACATGAACATGAACCACATGAACACCATTTAATTATAAATGCCAAACATGACAACAAATAATAAAGTCGAACAAACTATAACCAACTTAACAAGTGTATAGTAAATGAACACAACAGACACCATACTCGACTCGCCTCGGTTCGTTTGCCAGCCCTTAGAAAGAAGTAACTTATGGTTTATAAATTGGGTTTGTATTACTTTGGATTTTGACATTTGCATGATGCAGGTCCTTGGGATGGCTAGTTGTAGTAGGCAAGAATTTTAGAAATGAACCTTTATTTTCTTATTTTTGATTTTTTCATTATTCTTTTATTCCAATTTATATTACAAATCAATATATATAATTGAAAGAAAACTGAAAATTTTTTTTATAAATTGATATATTATATTGATTAAATTTAATATTTTAATTATGATATTGTTATTAATATTAATATTATATTAATATTAATATTATTGTTTGTATTAATAATTTAATACTAAATTTTGCCCACCTGAAAAAAAAAGTTGATCCGCCCCGCTGGTCTTATGGTTACATAATATGAAAATAATTGCTAATATTATAAATTAAGAGTCATTAACTTAGTTAATTTCAATTAACATGTTAATGAAATGTGTGTAACTCTTATCATATAAAGTTATGCATATAGATTATATACAATTGACTCATAATTTTTATACTTCTATATATCAAAATGCTCAAAATTAAAAGTAGATTTTAATGAAAATAAATTAATATTTATAAAAGTTTATACTTAACATTTATTTTAAATATTTTGGCTATTATAGCAAGGTTGGGGCCCACAACTTTGATAGGCTTGCAATTTGTGGGCTACATTTGTGGGCTGCAGTTGGAGATTTCCTCTTCTGACATCATGATCCGTGCGATATAATTATTTGAACCAATTAGATTAAATGACTTTCCTCTTGTGTTTATTATAATTAATTAGATTAAATGTCTTTCTTTTTCTATTTATTATCCTAGAGTGTATATATATGTAATGATTCCAAGGAATAAAATTCAAATTCAATTTCCCTAAACAATTTCTTCAAAAAAGATATTTGAGAATTTGCATTTCAGACAAAAAATATTCACATGATTGAATTTAATACAAAATGTAAATGTTTTTTAACGCAAAAGGACACTCATGAAGACTGACAATTTAATTTTGGGGCCAACTTGTAAAATAAAATGGCTTTAGGGATCTAAATGGTTTTTTTTTTTAAGTATTGGCTACATAAAGTGCTTCTTATATCTCAAGGATTTGTGTGCAATTTATTTATAGATTTGTTATTCCTTATTATAGGCTACAAGGGAAAGCTAAAAGGATGAGATGTCCTCAACCTTCCTTTTTCTATTGAGTTGGTAAACTCTAAAGATGTAAGCTATTATATCAAAATGTCCTCAAATGGTGATATAAGCAGACTTAAACTGATAAAGAATGTGATACAAAAGTTATCTTCCTTTTATGTGAAATCTGAAATGCCTGCTGGAGGTGCTCCTACACACTAAAAAATTAGATAATAAGAGTTGTTGCTCCTGAAGTGGCCATGGTCCTAACCTAAAAGGAAGATGACCTAAGCCTTTCCTTATATTTGTCTCACAAATAGTGTTCATTTGCGAATCATATTGGGATAAGTTGTCTGAATATGTATTGGAGAAGGCAGACATGATTTTAAAAGTGGAATCATTTAGGTACTCAAGTAAATAAGCAATCAGCAATAAGTCATTTGTGTTTTTTTTTTTAATTTCTAGAAGTGGTTTTAGTTGTGCTTGATAGTCAGCATACTGCATGTTTTATGCTGTTTAATTTGCTAACAAATATTTTCATTATCATGCTCTGCAATACCTCTGAGTCAAGCATCTATCTTTTGGCTGGGCTTGACTTTCACAGTTCATTTGTTTGGGTAAACATCAGTTAACCTTTTTATAATTATATATGATTGTCTTTATGAGTTATACTTTAACCATTCTTTTTTGGTCTAGATCATTTCAAGCAATATCTAACCGTTTCACCTTTGCACATTCATTTATCTTATTTGGCCTATTCCCAACTACCTTCTTACTGATGCTATGTTGGCCATTGCACATGCCAAAATCAATTCATCCATTTTCTCATGCCTTTTTTTAAAGTGTATTATGCCATCCATGCTTTCATCTAATATCTATTGTGTTTTCTTGAAATCAATATATCTGTTTTTTTTTTCCACGTTTTAGGGTAATGCTGATTTTATGATGCAGAATTTTTTTGCCTTAATTTGGTGTCATATATTGGTTTCCTCTATCAAACAATGCATTTAGAGCAGGAGTTTTTTTTTTCCGAATTATTTGGAGGTTTCGATATCTCTTCTCATCCCTACCTTTTTCATTGTTTCCCTCCATTGCTCCCCATATCATGCTGGTTCATGAAACCTTCTCCCATCGAAATACAAAGGGATGATCTTTAGTTTTTGTAATTTGCTTCAATGTGTGTGTATGTTTGCTTCATTGTCTCCAATAGCTTATTATCTCTTTTAGAACCTGGTTACAATGAGGATGGAAAAGTTCGGATTAAGATTGGAAAAGTCCTAATCACAAAAGAAGTAGAATATTAGCTTTGGTGAAAAAGGCTTCCTTTCATTTGAACACAAATTTAACTATCTTGAGCTCATCCTTTTTCCTTTTTAGATATATGCATGATATGAGTTCTTATAGAATTTGAGCAATGCTTTTTTTTTTTTGGCATAGGTACTTAAAGGCCATATTGCTTTGGGCAATGCAGTATTTCCTAATGGGACAACTGGTACATCTTATCTGTTAAATAAAATCTTTTCCAATTTTCTTAGCAGCTGAAACACCTATGATGCTTGTGACAGGGCATACTCTTGATATTCTTTCACGGATTCCATTGTGGAAAAATGGCCTTGACTATCGGCATGGCACTGGTCATGGGATTGGATCTTACCTTAATGTTCATGAAGGTGAGAAAATCATTATTATTCCATTACGCACAGTGCTTTATCTGCATTCTGGGAACAGTTTTTATCTTGAAATTTATGTTTTTAACCAAGTCTTTTTAGGTCTACCTCTACCTTTCTTAACATAAATCAAATCTAATACCTCAACTTTCCTAACCGGGTCATCGGAAGGCCTCCGTTTAATGTGACCAAACCATCTAAGGCGACTCTCTCTAATCTTATCTTTCATTGGAACTACTCCAATCTTTTCACGTATATTTAAAAAGAATACTATTACTTGAAAATTATATTTAATAAATAATTTAATTAAAAAATGATCAAAATACCCTTTGATTTAATGCCATAACCCCAAAATTTAATATTTGAACAAAAATTGTCACTTTTTAAGTAGTTAAGGGACCAAGTTGGTCTCTCGAAAGAGTTGAGGACCATTTTTGTCTCTCACAAAAAGTGAGGGACCATTTTGATCATTTTCTCATGTCTCATAGGTTTTTCATTCCTTGTTTTGAGTATAATGTTGAATTTGTGATGCAGAATTTTTTTTCTTAATTTTGCTCCATTAAATGCGTCTTTTCTCAAATCTTTGCATTAAAGGAAGAATTCGTTTTCATGAAATTGTTTTGAGGTTTTATATCTCTCCATTCTCCTCATCATTGCTCCAATCCAATGCTACCTTTTGCTGCTTACCTAGGCCCCTTCTGTTGAAATTCAAACTGATAACCTTTAGTTTCATAAATTTGATGCAGTTTGTATGTATTTTGATGTATTTTCTCCAATGTCTTAATTAATCTCATTTTCAGAGCCTGGTTACTATGAGGATGGAAACTTTGGTATAAGATTGGAAAATGTTCTTGTCGTGAAAGAAGCTGACACCAAGTTTAATTTTGGTGAAAAAGGATACCTTTCATTTGAACATATAACATGGGTAAGTATACTCTTAACTATTTATTCTTTTCATACTTTTTCCTCTTACCCTAATTTTCAACTTAATAATAATAAAAAAGTCCTTTTTTTTAGAGTTGCTCTATTTTATGCACTCTTTTGCTTATGATAATGTTGAGCACATAGTTCACATTAGTTTGTTGGAATTGCTCCCACCTCAAGTAGAGTTGAAGCGGTTTAAATCCCTGATAATTTTTCGTGGTTCTTTAGTTGAGAACTTCAGCAAACCGAGCAGGGTAGAATGCCATGTTTTTATTTAAAAAAAAAAATCATAACTATGTTATTGAGGAGCGTTTAATATATATTCTATTTTTAGGCATACTTTGTTTTAGGGGTGCAAGTGTGTCAAGCCGGCTTGTGAGTCTGCTCAGGCTCGGTTTGATAAATGGCTCATGAGCCGAGCTCGATGAGCTAACAAGCTAAACTTGAACTAACCCCAACTTGACTTATTAGGTGATGAGCCGGCTCGTTTAAAAAATATTAATATAAAATATACTTGAAATATATTATGATTCAAGATGTTAAATATCAAATTGTTAAAAAATATTTAAACATTATATCTCAATTTTTTATATTAAGTAAGTTTTATTATTTTTTCTTATAATTTCTCATTCTTTTTACTATTTTATCTCTTTCATAACAAACGAGTTGACTTGTGAGCCAGCTTGAACTCGTAGAATAAAGCTCAAGCTTGAACTCAATTAATTAATCAAGCTCAAGCTCAAGCTCAAGCCAGAGATGACTAGAGCTGGGCTCGACTGGTTTACACCCCTACTTTGTTTAGTGGCTCTAGTAGGTTGTGGACATTCTTTTTTACTTGTCCTTGTTTGTGTAATAATTAATACCATATCAATAGCGAAAAGGGCAGATAACAAAATTTTAAACCAGTGGTCATAAGATGACTTTTTATTTTCTTATTAACAATTCCAGTTTACAGTTAGTTTCTTTATCTACTTGGGTTTTAAGCTTGTTAGTCATAATAATTCCTAGATCAGAATTTTTCTTGCCTAAACCATGTCATATTTTTTTATCTTGGATGTCTCATTGTCTCAAGTAATTTTCTGCAAATTTGTTTCTATCGAAAAGGTGTATGAGCCTTGATAATGACCTACCTTATCATCCTTTTTCTTCTTTATCATTTATTTTTAAAAATATATTTATTCAATCATTTGTAGATATGTTTATTTTTTAAAAATAAATCAAATTATTTTTAAAAACACTAAAAGCAACTTTTAGATGATTTGAGTGTTTCTAAAAACAATTATCCATCATTGTTGCTAACCTCCACATTTTAATCAAATAGTTGTCTAAATAATAAACTTATAATTATATGATATGTAGAGAAAAAGCAGGTGATGATGCATTTTGTTAGGCTTCGTTTGGGACAACTTTCTTGCTGCTTCTTAAAGTTATTTTTTAGTATAAATTATTTGTTGTACAAGAAAGCTGCTTAAGAAGAAGTAAGAAAGCCGTCACAAATGAAGCCTTAATATCTATTATGAATAAATAAAAATATTTTATTATTTATTTGTTCTAACTATCACATTTTTTCATACAGGCTCCATACCAGAAAAAGCTAATGAATCTGAATTTGATGACTCCTGAAGAGATTTCCTGGGTGAATTCCTATCATTCCACTTGCAAAGAAGTTCTGGCTCCGTACCTAAATGATCAGGAGATGGAGTGGCTGAAGAAGGCCACAGAGCCCATTGCCAGTCCAGCTTCATGAACTTTGAAGAGCAGTTCCCATTGAAATTATCTGAAATTCCTCCAGCTTTAGTAGAACCAGTGTGAAAAGAACAAGTTGCTGTTGTGCTGGAAGCGCACATTGGCTTATGCCATCTTTCCTCTGCTGCCTTTACTTTGTTGGGTCATCTGCCATGCTTTGGTTGGTGATGATGCCAATTTATTGTCGTCGGTAATAGGTAATATGGTGACTTTAATCTTTCTATTTTATTACATTTTAAAACCCTTGAAGCTGATTTCTTAATTTTTTATTTTTCAATAAATTATGATGTAAGGTTGGATCTTCTCTCTCTCTCTCTCTCTCTCTCTCTCTCTCTCTCTCTCATTTGATACCTATAATCTATGTGGACTTATCTTTTGATAAAAAATTAGGTTCATTGACTGAGTTTTATGGTTCTGCCATATGTTGGAACCAAGATTTATTGTATTGGAAGTCATATTCTGAAATATTATTATGTATTACTACACTAAGAAATTGTTTTATTTAAACTTATTTCCTGCTTTCGCATAGACTGGATGTGGCCAACTGACATAAATCTCGCTAAACAGTCTGCTGCGAATCAGATAATAGAGTATTCATAGCATCTTTGATTCAAAAAGGGTCTGTTGGCTAAGTATATCACGCACATTCTTTAATTGATGAGCACTATATGGTTATCAAGATATGGCTGACATAAATTATGGATCATAAATGGTTGGCTTGCTCATCTAATCCTCTTTAAATAAATAAATAAATAATAGCATCTTTGATTCAAAGAAGTTACCATAAGTTTAACTTCTTTTACGGTGGAAATTATTCTTTGCGGAGGTCAGGTGCGTTATGTTAGCAATATCAAGCCACGGTACCGAGCGATGCTGAGCAATACCGATCTGCAGTACCAAGCACAGGAGTGACGTGATATATCCTGGTTGGTCTTTGGATGACTTTCAACGTCCCTTTTACGGATCCTTATTTTTAGTCGTGAAGTTGGCCTAAGTTTTTCAATTGCTTCGATTGTGTGTTTGGACCTGTTTGGTTGGAGTTTTAAGTGAGAACATAAATGAATGACAAAGTGATTATGGACTTGAGCTTTAAATAGGAGGTAAGTAGTTTAGTCTGTGAAAAAGGATAATAGAGAATTATTTTCTTGAATTTTTGTGTAAACTTATCCGATTAACTACCACATATATATATATATATATATATATATATCATTAGAAATAATTGCCACAGAATTAAATTATAAGTATTCTCAAAATTAACAAAAATCCTTTAGAGAGATTTCTGTTGGTTACAATTATTTTTAAATCATTTGTATTATCACAAAGTCTTTATCCAAACAAATTAAGGCTTACTTTGGGATGATTTTTTTACTGTTTTTTAAAGCAATTTTTTAATACAAAAATTTAAATTTTTGTACTAAAAAAATTGCTTTAAGAATAACTAAAAAAAGCTATCTCAAATGAAGCCTAAGATTTTATTTGAAACGACTTTCTTATTGTTTTTTAAAATAATTTTTTAGTACAAAAATTTTATCTACAGATCTTCTAAACATCGGAAGTAATATTTTTAGCACTGATCCAACCATCTTTAAACACAATTAAATAAAGAAAATCCTCCCTTTTTTAATTGCATGTGCTGATGCAGTCCTAAGTGATGATCCAATCTTATCATTTTTTAAGGTTTCAGATCATTTCTAATTATGAGGTTATTGTATCATTTACAGTTATCTCAAACATTCAATTTATCACTGAACAGTTGGAATTAAATTTTTTTAAAATAAAATGATTATGTCCATATCTTAAAACCACATAATACAATAACAACAAAACCAACAAGCTTTTATTCCACTACTTGTGTGGTCAGCTACATGAATCCTGTTTATCCAATGTGTCTGATTAAAAGTCAAATTTTCATTTAAATCTACTAAAGAAATATCATTTCTAATATTTTCTAACTAAGTCTTTTTAGATCTACCTCTACCTTTCATAAAATTACTTTTAAACAATAATAATATTAATAATAATAATGACTTCTGCGCATTCTTTAAATTATTAAAAAAAAACATTTATCTATAATTTAAGTTGAACATCTCATGACTTGGTTGCTGATGCTTATACTGTAGAATTACATCTATATTTTGCCTTAGTTTTTTAATAATAGTTTTATTCATTTATCATGCAATGGGTTTAATAGTCCTTGGGCTTAATAATATTATTATAATCTAATTATTCAAAAGAAATTTTATGAATCTTTACATTTTCATGTCATGAAGTGCTGCATTTCATCTTAAATTTAAATTTATAAAAATTTTAAACAAAACTGCTGAGTTACATAAAGTTTCTCTTTTTTTTTTTCATCCTTTGCTATTAATTTTACTTATTTATATTATTAATATGTATTTACAATATCTTCACTGTATATGCTTGTTGATTGCCAAAGCATTATCTATGATAAAGAGAAGATAGTTTAACATCTTAACTTTGCATAAATATCTAATACACAAATAAAAGATGGTTGCAAGAGCTTTAGAGTTTTTACATGAAAAACTTGAACACAATAATTTTTAGAATTTGACCCAATTTAAATAATTCTAATAGTGTTTGTCATCAGTTACAAATGATATTATTTTCATTTCATTGAGAATGAATTTCATGGTAGAAGTTGGAGGAACCCTGTTGCATGGGAGTTATCTTTAAGAGATCGTTTGTTATATGTTAGTTCATTCTACTCTAAGAAGTGCGAAAGAAGAGAGAAAAAAAATCTAACATAACTTTTGGTGCTAACATATGGAGTCATAATTAATGTCAACGATGTGTATATGCCTTAGGCAATGAAGTGCATCAAAGCTATTGGTGATGACAGATGAAAAAATCAACAAGCATCAGTGTAGCCAAATTATAATAGTTAGAGAGACTGTAATTGAGTAACAGTAGCCGAAATATTATAACCAAGAGACGGTAGTCAGAGGGTCATAGTCGGGCCGCGATGTTTAGAAGACCCAGTCACACAATAACAGCTTGATAATTGTAATTAGGTAATGATGGTCGAAGAATCGTAATCAAATGATGATGTTCAGAGAACAATAGTAAGACGATGGTGGTCGGAGGATATTATCGAGCCATGGTGGTCGAAACTCGACGATAGTGGTGGGAGTACCACAGTCAAGCAACAATGATCAGAAAGCTATAATTGAACGATGATGGTAATATGACTGTATTTGAGTAATAGTGATCAAATGACCATAGTCAAGCCTTGACAGTTGGATGTAAATATGTAATAGTTGGCAAAATTGGTCCACTTTATATGATTAAACAGGCGATCAAGCAATCCAGAGAAGCACGGGCGAGCAATTCGAACAAACACAAGCGCAACTCAAGTGCTTAATATCACCATATTAAGGTAATTTATTTTCTTAAAAAGTGTATAATAAATACAAATTCTATCATATGATATGGATATATAAGTTATGTATTATTTCTAATTCTATAGATACATAAATTATAATTTCACGTCTAATATGTGAATGTATCCTATCTTTTCAATAATAGATGTGTCTCATATTCATGTTATACCGTGTTCATATATCTATATTCATATTGATGCAAACTAGTTTCTAACCTTCTAACAAACTTATTAGAGCCACAAAATCTCCTTTGATCAGCTCAATTAACAAAAATTTAGATCCCCTCCTATAGTTTTCAACAATAAGAGACATAGTAATTAATTCATTATATGTTCCTTAAAATTTTTCCAGAAAGAGTAAAAATCTCTACAAATTAAAAGAACATAACATCCACAACAGATTATTAAATGATAAACCACAGATTAAATGATAAATGAAAACGTGTTAAACATCTCTGCAATTTACAAAGCTTTAAACATAAAGATCAGAAACTTATACCAAGTAGAAAGCTCAATTGACAGTGTGTTTTTTAGTTCAAAGCAATGAAAGAATAGCTGTCCCAGAATTACCTTCCACTGCAATCCAAGGAACATAATTCATTTTGCTCTGGCACTTCCAAGACCCAATGTGAGCTCGAGATCATCCTCCTCCGCTCCGACCTCATGAATTCTCTCCCCTTCCCATGGTTTCACCCTCCGACTCTCGAATTCAAAATCAGAAACCATTCTGCCACTCTTTTCAACCAAAGCAGATTCTGGCATTGCAGCAGCTGGGTTGATCAAATTGAATGTGGGAGATGCTGGAGCAGTGTTCTGAAAGCTGACCCACCGGCCTGAATCGATTGTCGAGGCATCAGACTCATCACATTCTGGTATTGTTGCCGGATGCAGCGGGTGACGGCCGCGGGTTGGGCTAGCTGGGGCTGAGGCAGCAAACAAAGGGTGATGATAAGCTACAGCTGCGACAGCGGCATAATCCCAGTCAGGCTTCATAAGCTTGAAAGGCCTAGAAGAGGTTGGGGAGGACGGGGGAGGAGTCACCGGCGCACTATTAGAGATTCGAAGAGGTGGGAGAGATGAAAGGTTTCGAAGAAAAGGGAGGAGATAGGAAGGAGTGACACTAGGATTGTTGTGATTCTCAAGCCTTGTGGGGCTTGGGAAGGAAGAAGATGCTGGGCTGGCTTGATAAGAAGGAACTGGGCTGGGGAAGGAGGAGGATGGAGGGCTAAGTTGGTGTGATGAAGAACATGGCCTTATGTTAGCAGATGGAGCTCCTGTTGCTATCTCTGGCTGTGGAAGAGGTAGCTTGCATCCCTACCATTGACAGAATTACAAGTTTCAGGTTTCAGTTTCTGAAACATTTCAATGAATTTTAGCTTATCTGGAAGGAAATGAGCTCTTAGAAGTTGCTACAGATGTGCTGAGAAATTAGAATATAAATGCATTAAGACTCCACATCACATTAATTGTAAATACTAAATAAATTAACATCTGCTAGATTATCGAAAATCCAGTTCTGGTTTATTTCAGTTACAGAATGACTGTAATTTTTTTCTCCTTTCTTTAGTCTCACTGTCTCTACCTTCTCCTTTTCCATTGATCTAAAGCTGGCTGACTATAAAGCAGCAAATGCTTCACAAAATCCAGGTCTGAAACAATTATTTTGCTATGAGTGCAGATAAATAAAAGCAACAAAAGGAAAAAAAAAGCATAAAAAAGAATGTTTTATGAGCTGAAAATTCAAGTAAAGGATTACGGTCAAAAGAGAAAAGATCATAACTTTCACAAGAAGCCGAAATCATAATAACAAAGATCAAAACTTTCTCAAATTTAAAAACCGAAATCATAATGGAAATCAAAAAAGGCCTAAAAGATTACCAAAAATTCGCACAAAGAAATCTGGAACAAAACGAGCAAAAACCTCTAATAAATCTTCGCAGATCACAGATCAGCAAAAACCTGGATCGTAACACATTCCCAACGCGAAACCCTAGACGACCAAACCAGTCATCTTAGGATTTAAGCCGAAAAACAAAACAAGGGAGAAAAAGATGAGACCTTGCGATAAGTTGTGCCGTCGTCTTCCACGACCCACCCAGCCTCAGCACAGAGGGCTTTGAGGACCTCGTTGTTGTCGCAGTGCTTGGGGAGCTTGAAGTTGCCGAGCGCTCTAAGGCCCGTGAAAATCTTGGCAGCAATCGCTCTTCGCCTTCTCTCTCTCCTCTTGTTATTCTCCCTCTCCTTCCATGTCGGCATCCTTCCACCTCCCGAAGTCATCTCCCTCTTTCTCTAAGAAAGCAGAGGACGAAGAGGGGAAGAAGCTCACGAGAAGAAGTGGGATAGATTCTCCTCTTCTCTCTCCTCCACGCCCCCTCTCTTCTTTTGAGGACAGAGAAAGGAGGGAAATTGGCGTGAAGGAGCTCTCTCCCCTGACCTGTTTTCCTTTTCTTCTAAGTGTTGGTTTTCTCTCTCTAGCTTGCTTGCAGGAGCTCGGTTTTGTCAGAAATGACGGTAGTGACCAATGAAGAGTAGGCTATTAAAACAAATGAGAGGTGATTAATGGCGGATTAAAGATCAATTTTTTAATTAGAGAGAGAGAGGGGGGGAGAGAGAGAGAGAGAGTAGCTCAGGCTTTGTTGACCACTGAGGCGAAGGGGTTTGATTGGTTTAGTACGGATTACGGGCGGGTTTACAGGGAAGGGTGCTGTGATTGGCACGTGCTGCCATTGGTGAAAGTAAGAGTAAATATTTCTAAAAAAAATATAGATAATAACATTTTTTTTTTTTTTTGGACATTTAGGCCATTTAAGGCAAACTCACACACACAACGCATACACATAGACTCGAACCCTGGACCTCTTAGTTGGAAGCCTAAGCTCTCAACCAATAGGCCAAGGAGAGTTGTGTAGCAATTTTTAATTGTTAAATCTAATTTTAAATAAATATAATATAGAAATAATTAAATAATTATGTATCACATCATCTTATAATAAATTAATAATTAAAAAATAAATTCGACTACACTTCTTACGATCTCAGTCACCTGAATACGGTCCCTCCGACCTTCATCACCCGACTACGATCATAACAACCAAACGAACAAGCCAATGTTTTATTGAGAATGCCTCTTATATCATTGGATTCTACCAACCCCAACTATGTATTATACTCTTTATTTTTTACATTGAACCAACATCTTCCCTCTAAAAAGGGCATCATTTATAATCAACAACCAACATTAGTGGATTTATTTCAACTTGACAAGGCCCCGTGATTTTTACCCTTTATGGGTTTCCCACATAAAAATTAGTGTTATGACTCTTGCACCATCTCTCTTTATTTGTATCTATGTTGGATCTTCGTTCAAAGCTAAGATACTAAGTTCATCATCTCTTTATCGCCGTGAATGTTCTAGGATGCAACATTAATTATTTGATAGTTTGTTGTTTTTTCGTGTTAATGAATACTGAAAATTATAGTTATTTCCTTAATTTAAATAAATATAAACCAATTGCTTTCAACGTCTGAGATCTAGACCACAACTATCATCAGACGGTCAGCATTCGCACGATTCCTAACGTTACCATATGGCGTCGCCGCAAGTCGGAGCAACCTGTGGCTCCCACTGAAAAAAAATCATGCAAGATTTGGCCCGCTGCAGCTACTCCTCACGTGCGAACGAAACGGGCCTTGCTCGGCCTAATGGGCCGGCATCCAGCTGCCAAAGCCCACCAATCACCACACACGCTTACAGCCTTACGCGCCATCCTAGTTCACCCTGAGTTGGGACCCACGTGTCGTCCCCAAAGTTACATGCTAGATTTATTTAATTTTATAATAATTTTAATTCTTTTAATATTAATTTGCACTACTAGTCTACTTGTTACATTAGTACACGCCATGTGGAAAAATTATTAGGTCAGGTGACCTGATGTAGCTCTACGTTCGGTAGCCAATAATATGTCGCCACGTGCTCGTACTCTTTACAGCGCAACCCGACGACCCATCTCGCACCGGACTATGTTCGCGTATTGCTCGGTATTGCTAGGTATTGTTTGGCAATAACGAGAAATACTGCTCTGTGAAGACCAATACCGAGCAATACCGAGTAATACCTAAAAGAACTCGGTATTGGTCTTCACAGAATGATACTTTTCATTTTTGTCGAGCAAAATCGACCAATACCGAGCAATACACAAACTCCCGAGTCCGTTCCGGGTCGGGTTGTCGGGCCGTGCGATAAATAGTGAGAACACGTGGCGCCTGTTTACTGCTCACCGAATGTAGAGCAACATCAGGTTACCGAACCAAATAAAAATTCAACCATGTGGCATTTATTTTTTTTAGGATGGTGAATTGGCTCAGTAAGAAATTATTTATGTTGAAAGGGCTTGATTTGTTAAAAATTAAGATATATTTGTAATACTTTTTCATTATTTTATTTTACATATTAATATCACATTTCAATTAATCATATATTTTTATTAAAATAGAGAAGATTTGGTATGAAATCATAATTTGTTTAGCCATCATACATCAAAGCACAGTGGCAACACTGATAATTAAAAACAAAATTCAAAATGGCTTGATAATCATTTAAATTTTAATTATTTAAAATTTAAAATTAACTCAATATATGCTCATATTTGTATTCAAAATACACAAATATGATTTTTTTTTTATATTTATTTATATAGTATTCTTAATTAATAATAACAAATATTTTATAAAATTATCCTATTAATTAGCCCAACTAGAGATAATCATTGTTGGACTTAAAAAGAAAAATATATTAGGGTATCATAATACAAATTATATTAGAATAAGTCCATTCTTCTGACACGTGTACTTAATCTCATACTTCATATATTATAGTCTGATATAATTAAATTATTAGACGATATAATTAATGGATTATTTGATTTGTTGAAAAATGTAAAGTAAAATAAATGCAAAATAAAATGTGTATTTAAAATATGTTAGAATTTTTTGGATAAAGATTCATAATAGAAAAAAGTATTATCATTATTATATAATTTAATTATATTTTCTAATAATCTGGCTATATTTAACCAATAATTTAGTTAAAATATCTAAAAACTACATTATTTTAAGGGTCGTCTAAGATAATTTCTATATTTTTTATTTTATTTTATTTATATTTAAATACGAAATTAAAATTTATTTGATATTCAATGAGTGTTATTTTGATTTTGATTGTATATTGTATAAGATGGTGATGACATGCATGATGCATCAATTCAATGCCGTGTAGGAGATTTAAAAAAATAATAATAATAAATTATCAAAAAATACTTAAATACAATCTTGGGATTTTTTTTTTTAAACAGCTTGATTTATTCAAAAGATTAAAACATCTCAAAAATTAAATTAAATATAATTTTAAAAATAAAAAATAAATATAAAAAAAACAACCCTAAACTATTTCCATCTCCAACTGAAAAACTCATTTTCACACAAAAATACAGTAACAATCACATCAAACAGTAACTCATTAGTCATCTCCAAGTGAACTCCATTTCTTGTTAGCGATGATGAGGAGCAAACACCACAATGACGAAACAAGCAAGAAAGTAAAAGATGCAGAAAAGTAAAGACAACAGGATTTAACGTAGAAAAATCCAAAATAGCTAGAGAGAAAATCATAGAGGCACACCACACCAACAAATCCACTATGAAATTGGAAGAAATAAATACATATTTCTCTTCTCTCTCACCCTCATTTTACTTCTCTTCTCTTATGTGACGTTCTCAATGTCTAACTACTATCAAAATACAAGAAAAACCAAGTAAAATAACCCAAAGGGATACAACCTTTAGAAAAACGAGAAACTCGTCTCGCAACACTGCGGCACCAGTTTGGGTGTTGTTGTCCACAAACATATACCTTGATTTGCTATGGTGTCATATCTATACCGCTGCGGCCCTCTGCTTTCTGTCGTTCAATGATGGGGCACTAGGGAACACAACATCGGGGCGCTCGGATATGCAGCACCAGATAGTTGTAAAGGGAAAAAAAAAATGATGCAAAACACTTAAGCACCCGAACCATTGGCATGACCACCATTATATTCCACCCAATTAAAATCTAATCCCTTTAATTCGACAAAATAATTTTAAAAGTACTTAGAAGTTAGAATTTCATTATCAAAAAAGGGCTCTGACATTGATTATTTATTTATTTTGTACAAACTCTATCGCTTCTTCTATTTATTTGAGTTGCTGTGAATTTCAAAAGTACTGAAAAATATTCAATAAATGTACATAAGCTAGTAAATATTAGCTAGGAGTCAAAGAACAGTACAAATTAATGCAGTCAAGTTTACTTAAAATAACTAACAGTGCAATTAACTTATAATTTTTAAAAAATAATAAATAATTGATCAATTTATTAAAAAATTGTAATTTTAATTTTCTTGATAAGAAAATCATATAAAAAACCTTAATTTTTATATATTTAATTATCATGATATTTGATACGGCATCACAAAATTAACTTGATTGGGCACGAATCTCGAGGCAAAAGCTAGTTAGAAACTTCAAAAATTAAAATTGGAAGCTCTCGAACTCCGATTTCAGCGAGCTTATAGTCAAATTGAGCGTCTCGGAAATATGAACCCAACGACACCAAATTCAACCCAATCCGAGCCCAAATGAGTCCGAATCAAGGACCTGAAGCGCTGTTGGAAGGTTCAAACCGCAATTTGAGTTACCAAACGGTATTCGATTTTAACGAGCTTATACTCGAATCGAGCGGATCGACGAGACGAATCCAATGAGCCCAAGATCGCCGAATTCCGACATCATTAAGGCCTCCAAATGTCCAATGAACAGTGCAAGATCGAATGGTTCAATATCTGCCGTCCATTCAAACCACTCCATATTCGCCCATGATCTCACAACTATTTACGAGCTATGCTACTCCAGAAAAACTATAAATAGAGTCCTCATTCTACACAAAGGAGACTCAAGTGAATATAGAGAAGAAGAAGGGAAGAAGGGAGAGAAGGAAGAAGCTCCTCCTCGACCACCGTCGGAGCCCTTCCCGCCGCCTGAAGACGCCGGAACTCTGTCGAATTTTCGGGAAACGCCGGGAATTTGCAAAACTTTGTAAATTTGTGAAAAATTGATTGTAAACTGATCGTCTTGATTTGTAAGGCGGATCAATCTTTGTACTTCAAACAAATACTAGTATAACTTTACAACTGGGCAAGACCCCGTGGTTTTTTCCCTCTTTCGGGATTTCCACGTAAAAACCTTGGTGTTCATTTCTCTTTTCTGTTTGTGTGTTGAATACTCGTACAACGCTCGGACGCGAATTTACAAACTCTACCGCCACATATATTCTAGCACGCAACAATACTAATATTAATACTAACTATTATTTTTACTATAAAAATAATAAATAATAAATAAATTATTTTTTAATTAAAACCTATCCTAATTTATCCTATATGGCCTCTTTCCTCCCTCTCTCTCCTACTGTTAGTACTTAGTACAGCCAGCTACA